TGCAAGCCGCCGCTTTCCGAGGTAGACTCGTTTCGTTCCCCTACGCGGTTTCCCCCACCTTTCGACCAACACCGATGCTAGCCAGCGAGCCATACTACGCTCCCGCCACGGTGACGTCACTTCGAGTAGTGTAGTGCAGTGAGAAGGAGCGAAGGCAGCTCCATCCGCGTTACATGGCCCGAGTGAACGAAGCGAGTGCGTTTAAGACGTGCGTATACAAGCGTGCATCGTAGCGATTGTATCGCTGGTACACACGCGAAAACCGTTCGATCAATGCACGTTACGAGAAGTTTGATTGTCCGATCGGGAAAAAACGAAACCGCGCCTCGCTTTTAACCGAGAAATGTATTCGACGTAGAATATACCGTTTGGAGAGGCACGAGAGCGGTGCAAAATCAGTGTATGTACGTGAAAGAAGCAACTACGCAGAGTGAAAAGTAGTGTGTCGTGCGCGTCGATTATTTAAACGGGAATAGAGGAAATAAAGAGCGACGGTTCTATCGTCCCGTATGTAAGATCGATTGTTTTTTCTTCAGTGGGGTTTTCCGCGAGAGTTTGAAAGCCTCTCTCTGTCGGTGCGCGACGAATCACGCGAGTGTGATTATGCTCGGCAGATATGCGTCGGGATACGTGGTCCGCGCGTTGTGCCCGGTGTGCTTGGTGTGACGTGTGATTAGCCGCCTTTCTTCATAACGCGATCCAGTGGTGTACGATGTGGTGTTCGGCGACGGTCTTGATTCTCGTAGCCGTTGCCATCAGTGGTGTCCACTATCGAGGCTCCTCCTCCTCCTCTTCTTCGTCGTCGACGGCGTCGTGCATCGCGACGCAAAAATTTTATCGCGAGAGCTCCGTTGCTACCCTCTTCTTCTGTCGGCCGATCGTTCTACGGCGCTGCCCTGACGACAGCACTCGTCGTGCCTGGGGTCACCACCTTCCGGCTAGTGACTAGTGATAATCTGTTTGTTGCCAGTGATTAAATTGGGAGTGTCGAAGTGGGAGGAAGCTCGTTTTGCTTCGTCGTGGAATACACGTAACGGTTCTCCTTCGTCTTTGATCGCGTGTGTGTCGCGAGCTCAACGAGTTAGTTTCTTCTTTTTTTTTGCATCGTTTTCGTGAAACGAATACGAGATCGATCGTGTTGTTGGTACACGGATCATTGATTTGTCGCGAAACAAGCGAGGAGCGATATTCGAAGGAAACGAGAAAGAGGCTTCCTTGAGCCGACCCGCTGGCGGTATTGAATATCGGTGGTGTGGTGAGAGTGCCGTGATTAGCGTCGGGCGAAGTTGTGTGTCGTTGTACAGTGCCGCCAAACGATACCACAACATCCGATCCCAAATGAAGAGTTCGGAGCAAAATGGTTAGAGAGACACGTCACCTGTGGGTTGGAAATCTGCCGGAAAACATCCGAGAGGATCGCATACGAGAGCATTTCAAACGGTGAGTGCCCTTTCTTCTTTTCTACTTTTTCTATGGCCTTCTAACAAAAGGCGTCTTACGTAACTATACAGGGTGTCCTGCGTTTTACCGTACAAACTTCGCCACCCTGTTTCATAAACGCGTCGTTATCGATAATATTGAATGTTATCGGTAATTCGATACATCGGTAATATTCAAATGTTATTGGTAATTCGATATATCGATGATATCATACAAATATCGTTAAGGCGAGTGAGAGTGACTGAAATAGTATATACCGCGTAATTTTATTATTCGATCTATTTGTTCTCGTTTAAACTTCGAACAGAGACAATGGGAGTAATCGAGGTAGAAAGAGACACATTTTATCATTTACATCTAGTTATTCTTGTTTGGAGCTAAGTTAGATTAGATTTGAAATTTCAACAAGGATACATTTGAATCATAAGTTATGTTAGGTCAGGGTTAGGATTAGATTTCAAGCTTTCAAAGAGTCCATAGGTTTGAATAATAAAATTATGTTTCGAGTGTAAATAAACTTAAAATTATGTATCAGGCTTAGATGTATAATTACGCGTAGTACACTGATTAAATTTGTATGCGAAAACTGAGGACACCTTGTATACATATAAAATATTCAAACACGTTATTCCCGGTTAGTGCGCACCAAATTCGTGCTTATTTTTCCGCTTACCGTCTACCTGTGTCCTCTGACGTAGAGGGCACGAACCTGAAGACATTCAACGAGATTTACTGGCTTTCTAATTTGTTGAAATAATTTTGATTTATCCGTGAACCGTGCAGACCTACGGTCAATTTGCCGGGAAAGGAACTCCGACCCTTTGCATATATTTTCAGGCTAGGGCATAGAACGTTTGCATTGTTGCCGGTAGTTTTGGGTACGGTCAACGATAATTTCGTCTGAACTTTTATGACTGTATATGGTCGTATACTATAGTTGCCTGCCAGGTTTTATATCGCTGGCTAGATAAACCAGGCCTTAAAATATTATGTACAATAGCAATTTCAACGATACAACGTGGTCGTTATATGCGTACATTTATTTATATATTTCGGTGCAATAAAGTACTACTGGTTACATTGGCGTAACGAGGTAATATACAAAATGAGAGAAAGGTAAATTTAAAAAATTTTGAGTTACAAGTTTTTAGACTTGCAAAAGTGGAAATTTTGAATTCCCAAATTTTTACATTTTCAAGTTTGAAAGTTTCTAAGTCACTAAATCTAAAAATTTGTGAATTGTTAAATTGGCAGATAAAAATGCTGGTTACGCCAATGGATAGATAGAGACAGAATTTAGGAATCCGTAAGGTGTACTCAATGTTTTCGATCCCGTACGTAGATCGAGGATCCTGCACGCGTATATACGCACCCACACCTCTTGTATACATACGTATACACCATACGATATACAGAGAGCCTTGGCTCTGTCTCTCCTCTCCTCGTAGCGTGAGCGCGCCGTCATTTGTTTTTTCCCTGAAGTAATAATAGCTGAGGACAGCCATTTTGAGAGCTCGCAGCGGCACGAAGTTATTGTTCGACAGTGGCGCTCATTTTGTGGCTCCGTTCACCGGGCACGCCTTTCGCGTGCTCCGAAAACGAAATATTTTAAATAAAATACAAACGATCGTACAATTTACAGTCAAAATCTTTAGTTAATTTTATCCTTCCTCAAGAAATAACACTCAGGTTCACAACGGTCAACAATCATACAACATATGGCTCACATGTGTAAAATTCATAATTTACGAACAATTTATAGTTATTGCTCTATTGCGTTAGTGTTTGCGATGATGCATTACACGAATTTAGCAACTTTCGCTAAGTTTTATGAACACTTTAACTTGTAGCGAATATAATGGACATTTTGTCGTATAGAAAGTACGGTGGGATTTTTAAGACATCTCAGGTTTTAGAAATTTCTAAATAAATTAAATATAGAGGTAGTACTTCATATTATATTTTCATATTTTATTTAGGTGGTAGTGAATTTTTATATTTTTCTGTTAAATCTTTGAAGATAGAGAATTATTTTATTTTATACATTACTGGAAAGAAAGGATGGATTTTTAAGTGTTCTGTCTCTGATCATATAAATATACTGAGAAAGTAGTTACACCCCTAATTTAAGACAATACAGAATATAGAAATTACGAATGTACCTGGAATGCAGGTAAAATTGTTGAGGAGTAAAGATCGAAGTAGGAAAACAGAAGTGAAAACTAACGGTGACGTGGCGCAGTGTCGCTCAACCTACGGATACCCGAGAACGCGGTATAAACTACAATGTAAAATAATTTACTACACTTAATGTCACGATGTTGAAGAAGCTGTTTCACAGTTTCATTAATTTTCAGGCACACGACAGTTATTTATAGGTTTACGAGTATACGTCCTGTGTCGTGATTTACATAATAAAGTTCACTACGTTACGTATCGCGATGAAATACTACTTCTGTTCTATAATTCAGATATCTTTTCTTACTTATTACTGTTCGTATATTTATTTAATATTATTTATATAGAAATATGTAGTACTTTCGAAATTATTTTCATTTTGTTGTCATTGACGTAATTGGAATTTGGGAATTTAATGCATTAAATTGGGGAATTTGAAAATTTGGGGAAAATTGAAAAGGAAATTTACAAAATGGGGAAATTGAAATCTGGGGAATTTGGAAACGGGGAAAATTATAAACTAGAGAATAGAATTTGAGAATTTGGGAATTTGGTAAAATTTGCTAGGAAATTTATCCCACATTGCAAGACCCTAGTTACACTAATGTTTATAGTGACATTTTTTTATTCTTCCCTAAATTTAATCCTATACTTATAAAAAATCATGAAATAGGTATTAAAATTACACTAATGAACGCGGTTTCCCTGCAAAGTCTTGGCATAAAGTACTTGGATGAAATCCGTAGTGCTGTTTAACTACTGTAATAGAAAGCAGTGTTCGTTTTTAAGGAGAAATGAATGGGCAATGTTTTCAATACGGATCCTAATCTGTTTCGTGCCATTAATTTTTCTTCTCGAAACGCACATGTCGGTGAATATTCGCATTGCCAGCGGCGCTACATTTTACGTGCCAGCTGGCGATACTTCGTTTGTACGTTGGCTTCGTTCTTACGGTCGTCTACCGTGCGTTATAGCCTTAAAGGTTTGTCCTTAAAATGGCGGGTGGCGTCGTTACGCCGTTGACCTTTCTTGAAACGCACGATACGTAAAGAACTATATTTATTTCATTATTTCTTCCTTATTATCGACTTGCATATTTTTGATCGTTTCGTCATTTTTAAACTAATTGTCCTTTTTGGGATACTTCCGCATTTCGTTATAATTAATTAATGCATACCAGATTGTTTTGCGAACAAATACAAGTTTGTTAAAATTTTATACGTTATGGACTCTGAACATTGCATAATATTCAAAAATAATGCAAAGTAATTTAATCCTTTTTAACCTTCGGAGGAGCCTATTTTTGAAACGTAGTCAGGGTTGGTCCCCCACTAAAAATTCATTAAAATAGTCTCTAATGAATATTCTGGTTCTCCATTAATTTTCAGAATAATTATTTTGATGGAAAAATTAATATTTAACGACTTCCCCTTCCTAAAACTTAATATTCAGATGATATCAGATCTTGAAATTTTAATTAATAGAATAATTTTTACCCACAGAGAATTAAATAACATTTTAATATCTGTTGCATCTTTTTATTGTCTCTGAACATTTACCTACTATCTGACAATTAGAAACAGGACTTTCTTGTATGTCTAATATAAATACCCAATGTTAGATACATTTGCATGTACACAATAGTAGTCAGAAGAATGCATTCACTATGTTCTCCCGTGCAAAGCAACATTTGCACAAAAATAAGAATTCTGTCAGACCCTGCAGACATTCGACCATTTCTTTGTGTGGGTCCGAAATCAGATTCGAAGATGTGTTTTGAAACGCACGTCCGCCACATTCTTATGCGTACGACATGCGCATCGTGCGACGCACCCGCTTACTAATACATATTTGCACTGCATACATATAAGGTGTCCCAACAAGACGTACACGAATATCGTTCATAAAAATATTGGGAAGCAATCATAAGGAATATTTAAATTTACAAGCAATGCGATGTCAATTTAAATTCATTTTTTTGTTTATTGAATTATATGGTAGTGCATACATTTTATTGGGACACCCCGTACACGCATGGCATATGATGTACCTCCGAATTTCTCTGTGTTCACTACGTCGCGAACGATACAACCGTATCCATCGAGCACACGTATATGTGCCCGTGCACAAGTAATATGCACACGTATCGCGTTCGCAATTTATGGTCACACGGAGATAAGGGTATGCACTGCTTTCGTACACACGCACACACGTACCTGAAGCTGTATGCACGTCTAGATTATATTTACAATTTATGCGTGTGTGGGCCGGTTTATTGACAGAATGCTTTAGAACCGTTGCTTTTTAGTTAGTGTATATTCGGATTTATCTAGTATTTGTGAATTTTTTAGTGGATTTTGGGATTTGGGGGTTTGGGAATTTGGAGGGGTTGGAATTTGAAGGTTTAGAGATGTGGGAGGGTGGAAACTCTAGGGTTTGCAAATTGGGAATTTGGATTTTTTGAGAATTTGGAAATTTGGGAATTTAGGATTTGGAGATTGGAAATTTGGAATTTGGAGTTTTTGAGAATTTGGGAATTTGGGAATGTAGGGTTTGGGAATTTGAGAATTGGGGATTTGGAGGGGGTAGAATTTGAAGGTTTAGAGATTTGGGAGGGTGGAAACTAGGGTTTAGAAATTCGAATTTGGAAATTTAGGATTTGGAAAGTGGAAATTTGGAATTTGGAATTTTTGAGAATTAGAGAATGCTGGATTTGGGATTTTGAGAATTGGGGAATGTAGGATTTGGGAATTTGAGAATTGGGGAATGTACGATTTAGGAATTTGAGGATTAAGGAATGTAGGATTTGGAAATTTGAGAGT